ATCTGCAAGGCTTAGTTACTTCCTTGATCTTTAGTGTCTCGTGACATCTTGTGGAAACAGCTGACATGACTCTGACTCTCTTGTAAATGCTCCTGGGGTCTTTAATGATTTCAATATACATATAACCCCCCACAGAACTACCAAGATTTCTGAGGGTGTTGGGCCGTTTGGACACAGATTTAGGACTTGCAGGAGGCAGAATCATGATGTGGCTGTATAACATAAGAGAATACCATGATACTGCAATATTACTGATATTTAATAATTTATCTTTAGCATACTTTGCAATTGCAAAATTAATGTTGTACCAGTAATGGGATCCAACTTGTTCCTAATTAAAACAAACAAACCTATAGGGCTAGAAAGAATTCTCTTGAATCAGAACTGAATGGGTGTTGATATAAAGAATTCTTTGTTAAACCTGACTGGGAACACGGGTAAAATAAGTATCACCTTTGGTAAGTTCAAACAGTTTGCATAAAAACTACTACTCCCTAATTTACTGGTTTTACCTCTGTGTGTTTTGCTGTGGGGGAATACAGCAATGGCAAAGGGAAACTTGCTGCTCCACTAATAAACAGTCTGCTCAAATGAGAAGAATTTGTTCACATGTACCAGTGAGGTATCTGAAAGCAGAAAAGGATGGTGAATTACTGGAAAGTACCTCTGTATCAAGCTTCACTGGATTATAGTAAAAGAAAAATAATGATCAACCTGATATAATCAAAATTCCCCATGGATGAGAACTTGGAGAAAGTGTCTGCTGAATTCCCAAAGGCTGCTGGGAGCAGTTAGAGAACTCTTGGAGAAACAGCAACTTTAGGGAATGGGGTTTCATCAGGCTGGTGGTCAGTCCCCAGTGGAGTTCCCAGGGCTTAATTTCAGACCACTGTGTTGCTGAGTGACATTTTAAAGGCAATTCATACACATTTAAGAAGTCAATAATTAGATATTTAATTATTTATGATCTGTAATTTAAAAAAAATTAAAAATTCACTGTTACTGGGTAAAGATAAGTGAATAAGTGCTGGACTAGGGAAAAACCTGCTTGTGTCAGCAAATAAGGGAAGGAGCTAAAGCTGCTCTGGCAAAGTATAAGCACAATATGTGGATAAGTAGTTGGCACAGGCATAATTAATGTGTTATATTAAAAGAGGTGTCCAGCAGAAGATGCATAGTGTAAAAAAAGAAATTTACCTCTGTAGCAGCATTGTTTAAAATTGCAGTAGAGTGATACAAAAGCAGCATTTAGAAACAGTGAAAACAGACAAGTTCATGACAAAGCAGAAGGATTTCTTGCACGATGCAAAAAGAAAAAAGCTGTTTTGAGGGAATCTGATTGTGTCCCATGCAAAAATGAGATAAATCTGAGCAGTTGGTAAATTATATGTTAATGCACAAATGCAAACAGGAAGTGGCTGAACTGAGAATGGTTGCTGGAAGATACCTGAGCATTTGGAAGTCTCAGGAAGGGCTCTCACTGTAGCAGTTCCTCCATTGGAAAAGCTGGAGCAATGAAGATACTCAGAACCAAAAATCAATTAAGAGGAGCCAAGCTTTTAGGCAGATGGTACTATGTGTAATCTTCCATTTCCACTTATGATAGATACATATTTAGGAAACTTATTTCCAGAGTTGTTCTACCACTTGGAATTATCCTGTACATTCTTCATACCTTCATCTTGGAGGATTTCAGGAGACTGAGTAGGTTAATGGCAGTGAGAAAGCTCTAGAACACAGTGTTTACACAGTCACAATCTAAATTATCTTCTAGAGATGATACTATCATCACATTTTGTCTTGTAGGGAAGAAGTGAAACAACAATGAAGTGCTGTCAAAATATGTCACTAAAGCAATGCTAGAGGGCAGATTTATGGGTAATTTTGCTGGTTTGGTCTAGGATGGAGTTGATTTTCTTCACAGTAGGTGGTATGAGGCTGTGTTTTGGATTTGTGCTGGGATGTTTCCGTTGTTGCTGAGCAGTGCTCACTGTTACAGATTTACACGCACCAGCCACTGTAACAGGGTCTGACTGTAGGATCCTGCTAAGAAAGCAAAGTCTGAGTTCTTAGGTTACAGCTTGATCTGGGTGCCTCCAGAGAGACCCCAACTCCTGTTCATGCCTCTCAATTATACCCATAACCACCCATCACCTGATGCCCAAGTCCAATCCCTTAATTCTGGTCCATGATCTCTTAATGTCATACTGTTTTTCACTGTTACTGGGCTGGCCTTCTTCTGCCAAGGAATATTCCAGATGATAGGACATCCTGCTCAGCGTGTGAAGCTGGGGAAGAAGAAGGAAGGTAGTGATGCTGTTTGTCTTCCCAAGTCACCACAATAATGCTGAGCATTGGCTTTGTCCACAGGAGACCAAATCCTTGAGGTATTTTGGTATCACTGATACCACAGCCAAATAGAGTTTTTTTGCTGACACTGAGCATTTATTACTGATAACATCAGTATTGTAGAAATAAATCACTTCCCTGGGAGAAATGCTCCAAGTTAAATTCCTGCTAAAATTCTGGGAGAGAAAACTAATTATTTTCTTTATTTAAAACCATCACCTTCTGTCCCCCTATCCTAAATTTGGCCAAGTTCAAACACACCCATCTTCCCTCCAGAAGCTTCCTAGATTTGTATTCTTTCTGAATTTCACAGAACTGCTCTATCTGAAAATTGCATCATCTTTATCATTAAGTGGTGTGAGTCATTTTAACATGAATTCAAAGGTGTAGGTGAGCAGCCCCTGTGCCTGCACGATCAGCAGCTCCAGCACAGGGCACAGAGAGTGTTTCCTCAACTTGGGGAACCTGAGGGGAGAGGAGTGACCCACCAGCTCAGGCCACAGCAGCTGTGGAGACCCAGGGAGGGCGTTGGGAGCAGTGGTGGCCCAAGCCCACCATGTATAGAAGAAAAAGTGGCCTCTCTTTGTACTTTTTTCTTTTTCCTGTGTTAGTACACAAGAATGATGATTTTAGCACTGACTTGCATCCTCTGTGTGCTGTGAAGAATAATTGCCTGGTTTTGTTCTCTGTATATTCTCCTTCCTGAAATGGCTTCTGCTGTAATGTGTCCCCCTTTGAGCCCCACATCTGTGACTTTCAGGTTCCTTCTTTCCTCCCCTGCTGCTCTCTGGCTGTCGGGGGTGACAGGAATTATTTACTGAGTTCAGACATTTCTCTGCACAGACACACAGGGGCTATTAATGAACTTTTCCTGGCTGCAGAGATGAGCCAGGAGCACCAACCTGCTGCCTGCCTGTCACTGCCTTCATTGATTTTTCACTCCTGGCAGACTTTTTAAACCTGGTTTCACCTTCTCATCTGGTTCATGGGTGTTCATTGACCACCTCAGCTTTGCTCCAGCATTCCAGCTGTGGGGATGAACCTGCAGGCACAGCTCTGTGGGGCTCTGTTCAGTTTTCAGTGGAGTTTTGGGTACTTCCCATGGGCCCTTAGTAGTGGCTCCTCTTTGCCATGCTGCCAGCCAAGAACTTGCCAGGTGTAGCTGCCCATGCGCAGCCTGCACTGATCCTGCTGCCTGATCCTGACTCCTGCTGATCAGACTGAGCCCCTGCGTCCTGCCAGGTGCTTCTCTTTTCTCTTGGTCAGGGAGATTTTGGCTTCTTTCTGCCTCTGATGTCCTCCCAAGCCCTCCCAAATGCCCTTGGCAGAAGGGAGGCTGTGAATGGCCAGGCTGAGCACACCCCATCCCTCTCTGGCTGTGCTGCTGGTGGGCTTGGTCAGCCTCCACCTGAGCCTCCAGGTGCTCCGAGTCCAGCTTGTGCTGTCATCCCCTTTTCCTCTGGGAAGTGTTACTAATTTCTTGAAAGCCAGCTGAAGGTCAAGGCTAATGCTTGTTCAGCTCCTTCTCGCTGTTGATTTTTCCCTGGTCTCCCAAAATGGGGTGACTTGAGGGGAGTGGAGAGACCTGCCAGGAGCCTACAGCTCATGCCACAGTAGTTGAGGAGACCTGAAAGGAGGTTGTAGTCTGGTGGCAGTTGGTCTCGTCCCCCAAGTAACAAGCAATAGGACAAGAGGAAATGGCCTCAGGTGGTGACAGGAGAAGTTTAGGTTGGGTATTATGAAAAATTTCTTCAGCAAAGGTTGGTCAAGTATTGGAACAGGCTGCCCAGGGCAGTGGTGGACTCATCATCCCTGGAGATATTTAAAAGATATACTGATGTGGCACTTGGGGACATGGTTTGGTGGTGGATTTGGCAGCTCACTAGAAATGCACCTGAGCTCTCACACGAGGCTCATACCCTCCAGAGCCCTCAGGATTTTCCCCCTTAAGCTACATGACTATGAGAAGTCCTCTCAGAGCAGGACCCTTTCTCTTCTCGAGGAGGCTCAGGGGGGATCTCATTGCTCTACAGCTACCCGAAAGGAGATTATAGTGAGATGGGGGTTGGTGCCTTGTGACAGGACAAGAGGAAATGGCCTTAAAGTGAGATAAGAGAGATTGGGATTAGATAATATTCCCCCCCCCCCTCCCCCTTCCCCACTATTAGGGTGGTCAGGCATTGGAATAGGTGCCCAGGGAGGTGGCGGAGTCACCATCCCTGAGGGTGTTTAAAAGGCGTCTGGATCTGGTGCTGTGTGATGGTTTAAGAGTTTCAGGGGCAGTGCTGGGTTGACAGATGACCTTAAAGAGGTCTCTTCCAACCTCGATGATTCTTGATTCTATGACACTAGACCAATTTCGGGATTTGGGAATGCCAGGAAGGCTCACTTTCGGCCGCTACTGCCAAAGCCCCTGAAGTTTTCAAAGACGGTCGGCTGAGATTCACCATCCGGGGGAACCCAATCACTCATTTACTCCTTTTAACGCATCCCCCTTGTGGAGGAACGCCCGATGCTCGCAGGCACGGGCGCGTTCCCCGTGGAAGCGCCGGCAGGTGAACCACGGGCGGCGGCAGCAGCGGGCGAGCTCCGCTCTCCCCTCACGGCTCTCCCGCCATCGCCCCGCGCATGCGGAGCGGGACCGGCCATTGCCGTCAGTTCCGGCGGCGGCGGGAGCGGGGCGGCTCCTGCCCCGGCTGAGAGTGCCGCTTCCAGCTCGGAGAGCCTCTGTCCCGCCTGTGGGTGCCCCTTCCCGGCTGTGAGAGCCGCTTCCAGCTGTGAGAGCCTCTGCCCCGGCTGTGAGTGCTGCTTCCAGCTGTGAGAGCTTCTGGGGGTGCCCCCTGTCCCGGCTGTGGCTGCCCCTGTCCCGGTCACCACCAACAGCCTCGTCCCCCTTCCCAGAGCAGCTCCCTTGCTCCTCTCGCTGTCCCTCAGCCCCTTCCTGGCGGGGCTGCGCTTGGCTCTTCCGCGGTTCATTTATTTTCCCTGCTGAACTTCGCCGGCCCAGCGCGGGATCTGCCCCGGGGAGAGGGAAAGGGAGGAGCTCCCACCTGCCCTCGGTGCCTGCCCGGTTGGGAACCGGGTGGACGGGGCTGTTCCCTGGGGATGGGGCTAGTTCCTGGTAACAGGTTTGCTGCCCTGGGAAGGAGGCTGCTGGGCAGACCCCGGGCACTACGGTGGGAGAGGGATAGTGACAGTCCAAAGCTGGGCTGTGTTGTTGGTTTTGTTCGTTTGTTTGTGTTTTTTTTTTTTCTGTTTGTTTATTTTTGTGGATGTTATGTTGGTTTGTCTGTGTTTTTTTGACCCTGTGAACGTTTCGGGGAGTGCTTTGGAGGTGAAGTTGACCAAGGCATCTGTGCGGTCCAGGAGGTCTCAGAGACGTGAGGGCTCAGCCATGCAATGCAGTAGTCAGAGAGCTCAGGGGAGAAGGAATTCTAAATACTTAAATATAAAAGCAGAAAACATTGCCTGGTCCTTCCCTGCATGTGTTTTTGAGAAAGCAGACTTCACTTTTTCTCAAAAGTAAATGTTCTGGTCCTGATTTTCCTCTCCCTGGCCATGTGCAAGCACTGACAGCTGTGTAAAGTTGGTGTTGGACCATTCCAGTTTGGTGTCTGTTTCCGTCTCACCCTGCACAATTTTCCGTATTTCCCCAAAGAAATTGGAGTGGAGAGCCTGAGTCTGACAGGATCTTCTGAGCTGGTGCTTCTGCTCTCTGGTTGTGGTGGAGACCCTGCTGCCCCGTGTGTGAGCTGTCTCGGGTAGCTGCACGGGGAGCAACATTGAGTCAGAAAAACCTAAAACTTACAGATTTTTCTTGGCTACACGGTTGAAGATTTAGTAGAATGATGACACAAATATTAGTGTTGTAGCACATGTATTCAGGATGCAGAAATGTTTAGCATCAAAGTCCTGGTTTGCTTCAGCAGCCCCACGTACTCTGAATGCTAAAAAATAATATTTGTTTTTCTTTTACTGGCCTGCAGTTGATGCAAAATGAGTGTTCCTGACTACATGCAGTGTGCTGAGGATCATCAGACCCTCCTGGTCGTGGTGCAGCCCATTGGCATTGTCCCTGAGGAGAGCTTTTTCAGGATCTACAAGCGGATCTCGGCCGTGAGCCAGGTCAGCGTGCGCGACTCGCAGCGCGTGCTGTACATCCGCTACAGGCACCACTATCCCCCGGAGAACAACGAGTGGGGCGACTTCCAGACACACCGCAAAGTCGTGGGGCTGATCACTATCACGGACTGCTCCTCTGCCAAGGAATGGCCCCAGACTTTCGAAAAATTCCATCTGCAGAAGGAAATGTATGGTTCTACCCTCTACGATTCCCGGCTGTTTGTCTTCGGGCTCCAGGGAGAGATCGCGGAGCAGCCCCGCACGGATGTGGCGTTTTATCCCAGTTACGATGAATGTGAGAATGTGGAGAAGAGAATTGAAGATTTTATCGAGTCCCTCTTCATAGTGCTGGAGTCGAAGCGGCTCGACAGAGCCACTGATAAGTCTGGAGACAAGATCCCGCTCCTGTGTGTTCCCTTTGAGAAGAAGGATTTTGTAGGTCTGGACACCGATAGTAGGTAAGCAGCTACTTTGGTCAGCTCGCAGGTCTTGGAAAAAAACCCCACCTGTGGCACTTGCCAGCCTTCAGGATAAGCCTCTTAGGAAGGACAGGGTGTACCTTGTTACAAAAAAAAGTGGTGACCAGATCTTACTGTCTGTCTGCTGTAGTTTAGGAGAATTTAATTTCTGGTCTCACCACATTTGATGTTCTGGGCTTGTTTTATATATATATATTAAATTCATGAGGGTCATCAAATAGCAGGAAAAAGTCATAGGAAATGTTTGACAGATTCTGCTCTAATGAGACTTTTTGCTGGAAAGCAATAGTTAATAGATATACGGTATTAATAAAAAAACTGAACTAACATTGATGAAAATAATTTTTTATTATGTTGGGTAGTATTTGACTAATCCTACTTATTGTATTTCTCCCCCTAAGCCTCTGTCTACTTTTTCATCCTATGAAACAGTGGTACTTTATTTTGGTGACTAAATCCATCACCCTTCCCTTTTTTATTTATTTAATTGCTTGTTATTCGTGACCTGTCTTGTTTTGCTTCAACTTTCTCTTTGGATTTGTGTATGTTAAGAGTTTTGTTTTGTTCCCCCACCGTCTTTCCTTCCTCCTCATTTGCATTCTCAGATTTGAGTGTTAAAGTGTTCTTGCGCAAGGGATTAGTAATTCTGGTTTGCCAGCGACAGGCAGTGCAAAATCTGTTTGATTTGGCAGTTTGCAGTCAAATCCAAAGGATGGAAGCAGCCACATTTGTGCTGGCAAGGACAGAGGTGTGGAATCCCTATCAAAATACCAAGTGTGCATGGGAATAGCATTGTTCACCTGTGTCTTGTACCACGAGGGTTGCCAGCAGTGATTGTTATCCCTGTGTAGAAAGCGGGGTTTTCCGGAGATGTCCAGGTAGATTTGGGAAGGCTTTGGATCCTGTTAATCAGGTCTGCCTGCACAGTTAGTCCTGGCCTTGGAAACTGCAAGAAAGTATTTCAAGTTTCTAATTAGTTTGATGCCCTCTGTCAAAGTATCTCTGGTTCCCTGAAGTACTTCTGTGCTCTGCTCCTGCTTCTCTTGGTGGGAAGTTGAGCTGGGTCTGACCTGCTACCCTTGGTTTGTCCCTGCACCATTCAGTTTTCATTATCAGTATAAATTACTGTGTTACTGGTTTTTGTACGTGGGTGATAAAGTTTTGTAGAGTAGGCTTGCCCTTTTAGAATCTTGGCTTTAATTAGTCAGTTTGAATGAATTTTGGTTGAACGTAATCAAAATTTCCTGCTCCGGTTAGCTAAGAAAAAGTCTCTTTTTTGGCCAAGAATCTCCAAATCAGAATGAATTATGCTGTTCAGTTGTACTTTGGAAATCAGTCTATTAGATAAGTGACTTATTTCTGAGCAGTGGCTGTGCTGTAGCTCGTGGGTAGATTTTTCCTGTGAAGTTCTGAAGTGGTGAGGGGCTCAAGCGAGAGCAGTGTGTGTATCCACACGTGCCCAAGGAGGTATTTTGTGCTGCTGCACTGAGTTCAAACAGGTGCAGTGTGATGCTTCAGTTCTTTGCAGAATGGAAGATGTGTGAGCCTGGCTGTGTAAACATATGGGTTTATCCAGAGTTAATCACTGGTTCAGCTCTGCACACACCCTTGCTGGGAGGTTTGAATACCAAAGAGCTTTTCAGTAACTCTGGATCAATGGATGCACTTGAAATGTTTGCTGCACTGCCCAAAGAAAAGGTGTTCAATGTTCTAATCGTTCAGTTCAATACTCAGAAAGTTTTTCAGCTGTGTTGTGCTGTGGATTAGTTCTGATTGTTTGAAAATTTAGGACTTATACATGAATAACATGGGCAAGCTGAATGAAAAATGTGTTTATAGCTTCTCTGCACAGGGACCTTTGTGGACACCTTCATGTAACCTGGTGCATCTCTGTGTTCTGAAGCAGAAACTCAGGTCCATGAAATAGGGTTGAACTAACACCAGTTTATTAAACTAACTTAGATTTTCAAGCATTATTAGTCTTTGGATGTGAACTGGTGGTATATACTGTTTTACTAACAGCTTTTTCTAGAATAGGTAAAAAATTCTAAAGGGTTAAAGGCAAAGAATGTTCCCTTGATCTTTTTTATATACCTTCTGTCCATTTTAAATTTTATTTTTTATAATGTATCCTGAGCTCTCAGTTAGTGTGCAACCAATTAGTTAAAAAGCACAAATGTCTATAGTAAATAGATGGAAGAGAAGGCACTGTCTGTGATTAGACAGGACAGCGTGTGTCTCTCTGACTGTAGTTGTAGATGTCTACTTAGGCTAAATAAGCCTAAATAGTAGTAATATCTTTTCCTATCGTTTCTAAAATGGAAGTTGAATTTCAGTGTGTAGCAAAGGTGTAAATAAATGTGGAGTGAAGCTGTTGAACTGGGTTGGTACATCAGGTGAAAATGTGTTAAGAAGTTACATGGGACTGGATAATTCTGCTGATGGGAGTTACAGACTAATTGAAACTACTGAACATTGTATCCCTCAAGATACAATACTTTTCTCCCAGTAATTTGTTGTCAAATATTAGAGTTAATGCTTGTCAGGAGTACAAAGATAGAGCTGATCTCCCTCACCCAGTTAGTGAGGCTTTCACTACCTTGGTTGCAGAATAATTGCAGCAGGAGTGGCTTCTTTTAAGATGCAGAGTTCACGAATTAGGAAGATGGATCATTGTGCTGCATTTCTAATAAAATGACTCTTAAAAAAGTGAGGATGATCTTTGTCTTTTGCAAGTTGCTTGTTTAAGGAGCAGAAGAGACACATTCCCCGAAGTGGTACTGAGATGACAGTTTACACAAACTCACTGTATTACGTGTGTAGAAGAATTTTTTTGGGGTGGTAGAAAACTTCATGTGTGAAAAGTAGTGGCATTATGTCCTAAAACCTTAGGAAGAAAGATTAGGAAGAACGATTGCCCTGTTAAACAGAAGTTGTAGAACAGAGTCTGACCTTGGTTTAATTCCCAGAGCACAGCCAAGAGATGATTTTGGCAAATCTGTTGTTTTTAATTTGTTTATCAGCTGCAAAATCTGGGTAAAATATCACAGGGATTCTGAGAGAATTGAAAAAGTTTCTGAAATCTGTTGCACTTGATAGTTGTTTGTAGAGGCCAGGAGCCTGATGGAAGAGTCTAGAAATGCATGTTCTCATGACGATACAAAGGTCCCACAAACGGGAAACGAGAAAACATTCTTGCCAGAAATACCATTTTTAAGCTTTCTATTTTATTTCTGTTTTCAGCTGAAAAACTAAACATATTTATGTATGAATATAAATCTACTTGGATAAGCTCATTTTAATGCTGTTAAATCAGTTTGTGTCAGGTTTTCTCTCTTTTAATAGTGGCATCCATTTAATGAGGCACCACTTAATACTGTGGAGTGGAGAGGTCATAGGGCTGTTTATACATGTCTTAGATGGGGTTTGTTCACTGATTTATCAAAGTTGATGATCTCAGTACGTGTTAATTTTCTTTCTGTTCTCTGTCTTTCTAATTTTTGTGTTTTTTTTGTTCCTTTCTTTCTTTTTATTTTTTTTTCCTTCCCCTCTTCTCTCATACCGCCCTGTGAGTTTGTTGTTGGGTCTAAAAAGGTAGGCTGTGATTGTGTCTCTTTGGAAATAGTTAGCTTCCTTCCATGTCCTGCCTCCTCACTCTGCCTCCATCGCATACTTTAGTGTTGCTTTTTATATTAATTTCTCAGTGCCCACACAAATAATCGCTGCTGGAGCCTCACTGCTGCAGCTGCCCCCCCTTTGGTGCATTTTGCAATTCTATTTGGTAGCAGTGCTGAATTGTTTTGTAGGACACCCATAGTTTGCTTAGGCGGCTGCTGGCCCCTGGAATTCGCTTTCTTTTGGAAACTCCAAAGCCATGAAGCTCCTGCTGTGCCCGTGTTTGGTTTCCAAAGCCAGAAGTTCTGGCGGTCGATCCCACGCCGTAGCTGTGTCTTTTCGAGGCTGGGTGATGTTATGACTGGTGGTTCCCAGAGCTCTGCATGCTGATTGGAATTGGTGGACCTCGGGGGGAAGTTTTCGTTGAAGCACTTTGCATGAGAATACTTTTGAAAGTTCATTTTGCATGTTTCTCGTTTGTAAGTTTAGCCAAATTTTGGGGGGTGGGGAGTGGGCAGAGATTCCTTCAAACCTGTAAATAAATTCTGCCTTGAAATGCAGTATTGTCGCTCTGAATTTTCCTTAGCATTATCCTGGGATCCTAGAAAGGAGCTGGGAATGGAGGATTAAAGCACATTTCCTTTGTAGCAAATGAGGTGGAAATGGAGATGGGATCAGGTGGTGCTTTGTGGTTCCTGGAGCAGGTTTGTTGTCCTCCGGTTTGAAGTGGCCGCTGATGGTCAGGATTGTGGTTATTATTCTGAACATGAAGCGTGTGTTTGGTACCAAATCAGCACAACTGAAATTAGAGAATAAGATTACAAACTAGTTATGGGGTCAGCTGTACGTTTGCATGAGGTGAGGAACTCCTGAAGAGGAGTTTGGATGGCTGAGGTGATGGAGCATCCATGGGTGGTCCTGCATTATGTGGCACCTCCTTCCTTGGGGATATTTCTGAGTGCATCACACTCAGGAAGGGGCTTGTGGTCTTTGAACTTTAATGTATAAAATGAATTTCTAGAGGAAAAATAAATAGAAACAGCTTTAGCAGGGCATGGCAGGGAACTGGCCTAGAAAAAGGTCATGTTATCCTAGAGGAATAATTTACCTGGACTTCCTGTCCTCAAACAGATTAGGATTGAGCAGCAGAGAACCAAAATATTTTAACAGTGTTTTAATAAAAAATAAATGAGAAGAAAACTGTAAGCTTCTCACTCTCAGCTCTGTGACCAGGTTCTTCAGGTAAAGCTGTGAAGCAAAACTATCTATGTATTAAAATGAATAATCATCACTTTATGCTGATATATTTATCCATGTCTGATTTTTTTCCCATTAAATTTGCACCCCAGGATGCACTGAAGAAACAATGAGTCACTTGGACTGGCTTTTAAGGACCCAATATTGTAGATACTGGAATTTATAAAAAAGAGGCTTCCCAAATATGAAATAAATTAAGTTTTGCTGTCTGTGCAGAGTGGGTTTGGTTTCAGTAAAATCTTTTTTCTTTTTTTGGACATACTTGAAGTAGTTGAATTTATTATACTTAATTGTGAGTGACTAGTTGAGACACAGTTTATACATTTGTTTGGTGCAAACTTCCTCTATAATTAGTGAGAAAATGCTTTCCAGGAGGGTGGCAAAAGACTTGCAGGGACTGTAGGAGGTAGATCCTGTCTTGGCACCACCTTGAAGAGCCTAAAAATAGGTGGAGTGAATTCAGTCTTTGAATAATTAATAGTAAATTTCTTCATCAGCAGGAATAAATTATCTGTTTGTGTCTAAATTAAGAGAGTTTCTGATGAACAGTGTTGTGTATGAGCAATGTTTATTGATGTCTGGGTGAATAAAAGCCTTCTAACTTTGCATATATTGACATCTGCATAAATCATCAGCAGAATGAGGTTGGGAAGAGCTGTTGGTGAGGCAATGGGATCGAAATGATTCTGGTATTGGGTTCTGATTTGGGAGTCAGGCATCATCTCTTTTCCTTTGCTGTGTGAGTCATGGTTATGAACTTAATCATATGCAATCTGGAAAGTCTGGAAAAACACTTATAAACTGCAGATTTGGGAGAATAAGGAGTTTAATTTGTCCATAAACACAGAGATTACTTGAAAGTGTAGAGACAGTCAACAGTGCAGAGTTAACATCTTTGAAAGGAATTATGGCTGTGTAAGGAAACAATGATTCTCCAGTTCCACTATCTATGTAAAAAAAGAGTTAAAAGCAATATATAACCATTGCAATCTTATTGTCATTCTGGAGTGCAGAGATTAGGGAAACCTCATTTGTAAACAATTTATACTTTCCTGTAGTTCAAGATTTTGATGGAGGCTTTTCTCTGAAATCCTGGTAAGACTTGGTGCCCTTCCATAGTTCCTGCAGGGAGCTTTAGTCTTCACTTGGAATTTTCTTTACTTTTTTCCTTTAAAAGTTCTATAAAATACATTCTTGTTGAACAACAAAGGATAAATACTGCAGTTTCTTGACACATGTGAAAGATAAAGAACAAGAATGGTATTGAGTTTCATTTAATGTCAACATCTTCCCATCAATTGTGAATATGATGTGATAGATCAGAAGAGTGGGAACATTTGTATGGGAGTTTTCTGTAACATTTTAGGTGGAGAGGGGCAATAGGAGACGTATTTCTTGTCTCCTTTTATAATTTCCAGCTTTTCTTGTAAACAATAACGCTGGTTCCGATTGCTTTTCTATTTAATTTTTATAAGGACATTGTATGTGCTCCTGTATATCTTCTCCCTTCGAATTTCTGTCCTCCATCCATATAAATCAGTTATTTTTCCTTTATCTCCTTGAAGAACCAGTCTTTTTTCAAACCAGATGCAAAGAATAACACATTATTTGGTGGCTGAAGAGATGCTTCTCTTTGTTATAAACAACCCAAACCAAAGAGCCTCAAAAGCAAATAAACCAATGACGTGTAGTTGTTTTTATTATTGCCATTTCTCATAGCCTTCAAATCTAAAGGAGATAAATTAATATCCTTTTTCCTGCCCTTACACTTCATGTGCTCAGTTCCCCATATGCTTTTTTTATTTCTGCATTACAGACTTCACAAAGATGTTCTGTTCAGATGTGTTGTGGAGATAATTTCAGGTTATTTCAAGTCCTATGGCAAGTTCTTTGCTGAAAAAAAAAACAAAAAAAAACCAAAAAACAAAACCCAAAATCAAAAAACCAACATTACCCCAAACCCAGTATCATTCCGTAATTTCCTCTTGAATTCCAAGTCTCGCTCCAGGGTATAAGAATTCAACACCTGGAGCGTGGATGTTACCCCAGGGGGTTTTTGGGTTTCTTTTTTGTGTGTAGTTGTTGAGGTCAAACATGCTGGGTAACCTTGTGAAAGATCACAAAATGATTCCGGTTGGAAGGGACCTTAAAGATCATTTCACTCCAATCCCCCTTCCTCTAGAACAGGCAGCTCAGAGCCCCATCCAGCCTGGCCTTGGACACTTCCAGGGATGGGGCAGCCACAGCTTCTCTGGGAAACCTGTTCAACTATGAACTTATTTTAACTGAAAAAGTATTGCTACATCTGCTAAAAGCTAAAAGTGTAGAACTATGACAGTCAATCCAAGATGGCTTTTATATTTTTAGAACCCCTTTTTAAGCAGGTTCTTCGTAGATACTTGAGTATACAAAAAAAAGAACGGCAACTACAGCAGTTCTTTTAATTAAATTTCATTTTTGGGTAGCTTTTATTTCAGTTTAAACCACCCAAAGAAATAAGATTTTATTTTTCCTTGGTGCGATGTTTGGACAATGAACTTTCATGCCTCTCTCTATTCGTGTACTTAAGACATCGATAGAACAAAGGGATTGGAGTAATGTAGGTAAATGAATAAAATATTTAAGCTGATTTTAAACTTTACCCTAAGAAAACAGTTATATAAAGTAGAGCAAGGACATTGTTGCCAGGCAATATTTTTGCAGGAGGGAGAACGGGAGGATTTCTGATGGAGTTGTTCTGAACTGTCACTTAAATCATGAGGTGCTTTCCAGGTCCAGTGTGTCTTACTTTGCATCTATTAAATTTCTTTAGCTGGAAGTTACTTTAAAAAAATTGAATAATAAGGTTAGTGCCTTTACCACGTGGGTTTGCGCCCAAGTTGCCTTTTCAGTTGTACCAAGGTGTCTGTTTAATATTTTCAGTAGGACTTCATTGGCCTTGGCTGTTCATTTGGAAAGAACTTCACCATTTATTTTAATACATTTAAAAAAAGCTGAAGTGATTGTGGTGTGTCGGGAAGGTACCGACAGCAGGGGAGGTTTGTGAGCCCTGAGCAGGTTCTGGGCCACCAACACCTCTGGGTGTGTGTGGAGAGGGATCAGGCAGCCAGTCCCACCAGAGGAGAGCACAGGGACAGAGCAAAGAGGACTTTGAGTCATCTTAAACATCCTCAGAGCCCAGATGGGAGGGATTCCGTGGGAAGAATCCATGGAATTATTCAAGAACAGCCTCCTGGAAGCACAAGAAAATCCATTCCCTAGTGAGGGAAAGCAAAAAGGAGGAACAAAGACCACCAAATGAGCTTTTGGGTGTATTTAAAAGCAAAATGGCAGCATATCAGGCAGCCAGATACTCATTGTGGTTTACAAGAACCTGCTCTGGAGGGTTTTGGGGTGGGTGGCTCCAACTGCAGAAATGCTGGGTAGCCAAGATACATCATACCCTGCTTTTTTCCCAATGTAGCCTCAAATTGTTTGCAGTTTTGCATATTCTGCTGCTTAGAGCTCATACTGGATACTGGCTCAGAGTAAATAAATGTTGATCCACGTTAAGGGGGGAGGAAAATTGCCTTCAGGTGTTTGTTGCCTGCAGTGTTTCCTGCAGCAGCTGAGCTGTACCTTTGCTGTTGCAGGCACTATAAGAAGCGCTGCCAGGGCCGGATGAGGAAACACGTGGGTGACCTGTGCCTGCAGGCTGGAATGTTACAGGATTCCCTGGTCCATTATCACATGGCAGTGGAACTGCTGCGCTCCGTGAATGACTTCCTGTGGCTTGGAGGTACGTTTGGGTGGGGGTAGTGAATAACTAATTACTTGCTAAACCCAAGTTTTTTCTACAAACTGTTTTCTACAGGTATTGTGAAAAGTGGGAATGATTCCGGTGAGCAAAATCTGAATATCAGGGGTGGCTGAGAATTAAATGGAAATGAAAATTGGTTAATAAGACCTGAGAAAGAAATGTGTTTAAAGAAACCTGCAACATAAAGTGTGTTACTGTAGTAAAGCATGTACATGAAAAAAAATCGTGTGTCTGACTTTTAATGATTCTTTTGAAAGTGTTTGGGTTTTTTTCAGGGTGTACAGGTGTTAAAAATATCTCCCGTGGGTGTTCACTGGGGACTGTTGGGTAAAGACTTTTGCCTTTACATCTACCAAAGCCACAAGTGTTTAACTTCCACTGGCATAACTTCCTTTTCACAGTAGGTCCTAGGATTTGCCTTTTCCCCCTGCCTTTCCTTCATCCTTTTATTTCTTTTTTTCATTCCTACATTTGATTATTTATTGGATATACAAGTGATCTTTGAACACAATTTCTGCATATCAGTTTTATACCCTTTCAGGACAATTGCTGTCTCAAATTCTGCTTTTAGCTTTCTCATTCTGCTTGAAAATCCATTCATCTTCCCAATGGCTCTGTAGGTTAAATATTATGAAAACCTTAACACCTTTTGACCTTCCGCTTCTTTCCTTCTATAATTATGCACTTCCCCTGGACTTGCTTTGGGATGAGTCTCCTGTCAGCCCATACCTCCAGCCTGGCAAGTTCTCTTTGCATTGAAGGTCTACCCTCCTGTTTCCCCCAGTCTGGTCACCCAGGAAACTTCTGGGAGTGCTCTGTGCCATCCTCCAGGCAGTTAATGAAGGCATGAGTATTGTCCCCCTGAGGGGGCAGCCACTTGTCCTTTGTGCTGATCACAGTCCTTTGATCCTCGCTGTCCAGCCCATTTTCCACCTACCTTATAGGCCAGCTGTCGAAATCCTACCAGTTTGGCTGTAGGAATTCTATGGGAGGTCACCTCCAAAGGTCTTTTGAAAGTCAAAACTTACAACATCCACTGCTTCCCTCTGTCCACTGAGCAAATCATCTCATCATAGGAGGCAGTGAGGTTGCCAAGGGCTGATTTGTCTTGATAGATCAGTGTGTGCTGTTTCCAGACACCTCCTTTCACTTCTTGTGCTTCCAGAAGGATTTCTGTACAGCCTTTCAAGGGAGTTGCTGTTGATCTGCCTGTTCTGGTACTTCCTCCTTGAAGAAGATGATATTTCCCTTTTTCCAGCCGTTAAAAACCTCTCCCAACTGGCATGACCCGTTGGAGGTGATAACCTTGGCATCAGTGTTGCATCTTACCTGGTTTTGTGGATTTACATCCAATTGGATTAAATGCTTTTAATGCCCATCTTCCTCATACTGTGACAAGTTCTTACTCCTGCAGATTCTCCCAGTAGGACTGGGCACCTGGGACATCTGAGGGGGAACACGGAGGGGAAAAGGACATCGGGTATCTCAGGCTTTTCCACGGCCTTTGTCACTGGGTGTCCAATTTGAGCGTGTTTTATTTGTGTAAATAGACTTTACCGCCTGACACTTCACTTCCTGCAAGTATCTCTGCTAACCTGGTGGCTTTCCCCTTCTCTCTCCAGCTGCTCTCGAGGGTCTGTGCTCAGCATCCGTCATCTACCACTACCCGGGCGGTACCGGGGGCAGAGTTGGGTCTCGCAGGGCACAGGGAGGTTCCCTCTCTGCCGAGGCAGGAAACAGGCACAGGCCAGGTAAGGAGGGGATTTTGTGGTTTTATTCCATTTGCCACCACTGAACCCCTGAAAACTTCCTCCCTGCTCCCTAAGGCTGTAAAATCCTACCGGTGACAGGATAAACTGGGGGAGGGGGTGGGAGGGGAGAATGGTATTTCTTTGTAAGATTTTTACATTAATGGCTTTTCTACTGTTTTGGTGTTAATATCAACACATGTGCTTTGCACAGAGTTGCAAAGCTTTTGATTTCTTCACCTGACTGTTAGTGGTGTCTGTTAGTTTGAATTTTGCTGGAGGGCATGCAGACAGTTTTCACCAAGATGATGTGGCAGAGCTGCATGTATGAAGAGTTATCTGGGTGCTTTTGTTCAGAATTTGTTCTGCTGCTTGAAAGTCAACATTTAAAAAGTAGATTTGGTTAACTAAATACCAGTGAACCAATATAATTTCTAAAATTTAGTGTGCTTTCCCTGAACTCTTGAACTGCAAGAGAGGTGGCTGAGGAGAAATGTGAGAGTGCTTTGTAATCCAGTGAACCCCAGTGATCCAGAGAGTGCAGGTGTAACTGGGCTGGATGGGCTTCATCTCTGGACATCTCTGTGGCTCTGATTTGGTTGCTGCTCACTGATCCCCTCTGCTCCTTTGTGCTTGTGCAGATGACCACATAACCTGACACTTCTCACGTGGAGTAAGGGCTCCTGAAAGTTTCTGTGGCCTCCAGTAGGGGCTGGTTTGGGTAGGGAAATTAAAATATATTGATTATTGTAAATTGCATGGGCCTTTGGACTAAGCCAGCACAGCTACTTCTATGTATACACTGACCCAGTACTGACACTAAGTCGGGTGTAAGTGCTGGTGTTAAGTTCTCTCGTGTGACCAACATTAATTCCTTCATCTCAAAGAAGTAACCACCCATCTTTATTCTTCTAGAAGTCACAATCTAGTAAACACTTGCTTTGTATTATCTTTATTACAGACTGTGTTTGTTGACACCAGATAATTGTGATAGTAAAATCACCTTATTTCAGGAGTAGGTACTAATTTTTCATATAATATCTAGTCATTAAAATCTGTGCATTTGGTCCCATGACCTACGAGTGCTGACTGTTAAATTATAATTTCACACAGTGATTGACCTCTGTCAACTTTTCAGTGACTATTTAGTGGGAGGTGTTACAATCTGTTTGTTTGCAATGAGTACATGTAAGTCACAGATATCAGACTAATTGAATGGAATTTATATTTTGGGCATATTAATGCTGCTTCTCTCAGTTTGCGTGTTGCAGACTTGTCAGTGTAGATGTATTTTGAAAATGTTTTAGTTTCATAAGACAAGATTCTTTAAAGGGCTTTTGTGAGAAGAACAACTGATTACAGGTTTTTTGTCATCCCTTCCAGATAAAATGTTACTCCCTGGTCCATGAGATGTTGTTCCCTAACTCTGTGTGTGATCTCTGTGTTTTGAGGTCTGAACTGCTGAGCTAAATCTGCACAAACAGCTGTTGCTGGGATGTCTTTTCTTACAGGGCTTTCTAAAAGTTTCTTTTTCATTACCTTTCCTTGACTCTACAGTGCCTTTCATTTAAAATCTTTCCAAACTGCACCTTTGTTTATAATCTTGTTTTGTCACAATTAATTTTGTGAGGACAGTGTTTAGTCTGGGGAACAAATTCCAGGGTATCTTTCTGTAGGACAAGTCCAGAAATAATAAGGGTTTCCAAATTCTGTGCAAATCAAGAAATGCCACACTTGGAACTGCCTTTCCTGGCTGTTTCTGAGGTATGAGGGTGTGAGAGTTACCTTTATTGCTTCCTGCTGTGCCTGGAATTGCACCCCTCCTTGTTCCTGTAGTTCACCTTCACAGGATGTTTTTTTTTTTTTTTTATACTGCCTTTGTGCCCAGACCCGGCCAAGAGAAACATCCTTGTCTGGAATGACCTGTTATTTCCACCCCTTGGCATTTTCAGGCTACAGCACAGGACCAGAAAACGCTGCTCAGAAAATGCCGTGGTGTCTGCTTTGTGTAGAAACATCTTTGGAAAGAGGACCTTTAATATTGTCTCTCTTTGTATAAGATAAAACACAAGCTTAAGAGGGCAGTGTTGAAGTGGTTTGGGTTTTTTTGTTTTATTTTTTTCCTCTTCCCTGCTAAGCAAAATTGCAATATATATTCTGATGTATCCATCTGTTGCAATTGTTACCTGTCTTTAAGGTTCCCTTTCAACCCAGACCATTCTATGATTCTCTGAAAAGGGAACTTTGATGTTTTAAAGGGGTGTGTCTGCTCATGTCCCTGAACCCTTTTGTTTGTATGGGACAGGTTTGGGCTGTGTCCCCCTTGAATTGTCTCTGGAGCCCTCAGTGCAAAGGAAGATTTTGAGTTGCTCAGTTCCTGCTGGCCAGGAAAACTGGCCATGGTCTGTCAGCTCTGTGATTCGTGTGAGTTTAGGTTGCCTTATGTTGGGCTCACTGGCTGTTTTGGGTTTCTCCACTGTGTTTTATTTGTTTATTTAGAAGTCTTCAGCTCTTAGTTTTGACTCCTGACCTTCCTCTTTCCCCAAGCAGAATTAGGACGCCTGAGTGAAGTGCTGGAGTATCTTTTGGATCTAAATCTAAATTTCTGCTTCACTAGTCTGGAGTCTGAGCAAATCAACTGAAGGGAGGGCCTCTCTTGCTGATAAAACAGTTGTTTTTGACTGCTTAACTTTTGGCATTAACACTTTTATTGCCGTGTTTCACCAGACTTTGGGCCAACAAGGTGTTATATATTTTATAATTATATATATAATCCAGCTTTGTAATATTCTTGGCAGCTCTTTTACATGAATAGTCTGGCTCGTTGGGTTGGCATGACTCAGTTACTCAGAGTATTTGATGGAGGGAAATCAATGACAATTAAAAGGGATACAATTACTTGAAAATGTTATTCTAGACTATTGTCATATTAAATGAGCTTCCACAAGATTTAAGCACTGTAGGTCCTGGTATTAGAATGTAGTAAGTGGACTGTGATGGGAACTTGATAACTAAAACAGTGAAGAAAAATGAAAAAAGATACGGCTTTAAATCCTGAAAATTCTGAAATTCTTCTTAAGGTGTCTTAGAATTCATTGCAAGCTTATGGGACTTTTACATTTATTTTTTAAATGAGATTTAACATGTGGTGACTACTTGAGTTATAACTGGTAGTCCTTCAAAACATAAATGATGATCTTGATAAATTTTATGATTTTGTTCAAGCCTGATGTTGTAAAACATAAGAACTTATTTTGTTGGCTATATTTAAGGCTGAAAAAAAATCATTTTTGTTCCTCCTTTTAGGGGCACAGGAAGTTCTCATTGATCCAGGTACATTATTTTCCTGCATGTTTCCAAAGTATTTTCTTTTTACTTCGTGAATGTGTTTTGCATTTGTGTAGATAGCTACTGCCACTTGCCAAAACTAGCAGTGATCCTTGTTGCTTCATTTTTTTTGGCTATAAATCTGGAGGAAGCAATGAGATTGGAGGGTAAATGGCACAAAATAAATGATATAGTTCCGTGATTGTGTCGCTGTAAATTCAAATCAACATTATTTCTTCCCATGAGTAGTGAGGATTTGTAAATTTTTTTTTAACTGACAGACCTGACTGGTCTCCTGTAGTGTCATGGTGCTCTTTCAGTCATCGTGAACATTTTTCACTTAACTTCCATGAAAATCCCTGTTAATCTACAGGTGTGCTTGGTTCGATTTGTAAGGTTGATAAACCTATAAGAAAATTTGCTTTTTAGCATTTGAGCATGTAAAACAACATATTTCTAAACATGGAGAGGGAGCAGAAAGTCTCTTTCACAGTAGTTTTCAACTGTCTACTGAGAGTCAGGGCTGACTTCGAAACACAAGAGATTTTCTTGCCATTTCAGTAGAGAAACCTCCCAGAGAAATAAATTCCCACATAATCCTGCAGATTAGGTAACACATAACAAGGTATTGAGCCTTGCCAAACCTTTGATGTATTTTCTCACTTTTATTATGCTAACCCTTCAATAAAATCGAATTCTAGAAATAAGATTTTCATGTTCTTTCTAATATCCCAGATTTCCTTGGCTTCTGTTTCGCATTCTTACCCCTTCTGCATGTGAAGACTCTTTCTGTCTCTCACATTCTTTCTTAGAGATGAAAACCAATTTCTCACTGTTTTGTCTGAGCCTTTTTTCTTAGGTGTGCTTTAGAGATGCAGTTCCAAAGTAGAGCAAGGAATAGTTCAGAGATCGAAGTTGCATATTCAGATGTGGCCATAATCTAATTCTGGCAATCTGTTACTTTTTCATAGTCTAAATATTCATTTAAGTGAAGAAAAATTATGGTGAAAGGTTATTTTCTGTTTGTTTGGCTCATAACTGAGTCCATTTTCCTTGTGTGCTGTTTGAAATACCACAGTAAAACAGAAGTAGTGTTTCCAGCCAGAGCCTGATTTAGTTCTAGGTAGGGCAGGTGTACTCTGTGTATTCCTTGTCAGACCTACAGCATATCCTAGATTTATTTTTAGGTGTTCACCACTTTGTAGCAAAGTCCTTGTGCTCATTCCTTACCCCGTTCTGTTCCAGGTGCTCTGACTTCCAATGGTATAAATGCAGATACCAGTGCAGAGATAGGACGTGCCAAGAACTGCCTGAGCCCTGAGGACATCATAGATAAATACAAGGAAGCCATTTCTTACTATGGCAAGGTAATGCTGCTTATTTTTGAGAGACTTCACTAAAATCCTTTTCAAGAGTGAACTGCTGTGGTCTTGGGTTGGGAGGATCTCCTAGAGCACATGCTGGGAACTTTGTAAAAACAGTTTCCAGCTCAACTGGAGCAATTTTTAGGTTTTTGTGCAAGTGCTCAGAGCCTGAGATGGTAAAGGGAGCTTAATGTCTACATTCATAATAGGAAAAGAAAAAGAATGATTTCATACTGTGACATTCATGGCTCAGTGTCCACATCAACATTAAAGATAAGTTTCATGGATTGCAGTGGAGTTATTTATGCTTCAATCATTTCTAATTTCAGGTATTTCTCTGATATACAAAGTATCTTTAGACTAAGCTGGGTAAATATAATGGGCATTTCCATGTTGGTTTTGAAGGGAGACTCTCCAAATGAAACAAGATCATTGTGCTCACGAGTTAATTTATGGTGTGGAGCAGTGAAAGGTGATAGTTTTGGGTATAGTGTCAGATAAATTGGAATCAATAAAACAGTTATTCTCAAGGTTGCATTCAGCTTTTTAGTGTTACCTTAAGGGCACATTGCTCATCTTTAGAAGTATGAAATTATTGGACTTCGTTGGACTTGGGGCAGGATTTTATATTTTGATTATAATGATATACATGATGTTCTCGGCAAGTAATAACTGTACTTCACTGCAGCTTCACTTGCAAATACCAAAGAGCTTTTTTGTGTTGGGACTGATATGTGTCTTCAAGACAAGCACAGTTCCCTTCTGTCTGTTCAAGTTCTACAGACAGAGCAACTCCTTGCTCTGATGCTGAGGAAGCAGCACGTTTTACATATTATTTTATGTTATCACTGAGCTGAAGAAAACTTTTGTAGCACCTTCTAAAATGGATTCAATCTCCAGTGATTTTCTTCTGCTGATATAAATGCACAAGAGAGGAATCTGCAACTGCTGTGGTAGATTAACTCCTGCATTTTGTTAGGAGATTTCTTTCCCCCCGTTAGTTTTCAAACGTGATAAATCCCTGAACAGAGTTTATCTGCAGCAGGAGATGGGCTGGCTCAAGTGTCCAGTATCAGTGCTGTTTGAGGAAACAACGAGCTCAGCTTGTTTGTCTAGAAAATTGCCTGTTTGTTGTCTGAGCTCAAACAGATCAATGCACGTTGTCTCCTGCCTTCCTTGAGCAAGCTAAATAACCAAACATTTGCAGAGGATGTTTTGTAAACTAGAACACTCAGAGTGGTTTGTAATTCTCTTGTCATCAGTGAATCTGTTCTATTTAAATAAAGAGAAAATTGATTCAGTAATAAAAATACTTTTGCTTCCATACCTATTGCACTGTGAAAGTAGAATTGATTTGCAGGCACACCACCCACACCCACAATATATGGGCTTATCCAAAATGGTACTAATATTCCCAACTTTTCTCCTCATGTGAACTCTCAGAAGCTGTGCAGTGTCTCAAAATGAGAGAAGTGAGCGAAGAGGCTGGAAACGATTGTTTTGCATAATAACATTTTAGTTGACACCTTAATTTTCACTCGGGCATATGTTGATAATTTAACAGTGCAGTCATTAGCATTAAGGAATTGCTGGGTTTGGCAGATGTGACAGCTGATTTATGTGCTGAGCAGAAATGCTTATAAAACCTAACAGGTGCAATCCTTCAATATTATTTTCATTTTCTCCCTCTCCAAGTACAAGAACGCTGGTGTGATCGAGCTGGAAGCTTGTGTGAAGGCAGTGAGAGTCCTTGCAATACAGAAGAGGAGCATGGAAGCCTCTGAGTTTCTGCAAAATGCAGTTTATATCAACCTTCGCCAGGTTGGTGTGGAAAGTCCAGTAATTTTTCTCTCCTCGTGTTACAGAATGTGCTGACAGTTACTCAGGTTCAGGAGACTGCAGTTTATTTTCTGTTTCACCACCTTCCTTCTCACTAGGACTTGACATCTGAGGATTTTCACATCTGTGAGTCTGGCTTAAAAGGTATTCAGAGTTCATCTGAAAACATGAGGACTTAGTCTGAGATTAAGGACTCTATTGGTGGTTCTCCCTTGAGAAGGAAAAAAACCACTCCGTTGTTGTTCTCTTGTGATGTTTTAGCAGGGAAAAAAACAGCTGCTTGGGACTGATCTGCAGTGGATCTTTTTAATTTTCTTGATTGCATCTCATTCAATGAAACTGTGAGCAAATCAGGAATGGCCTCTTGCAGAGTAAGCTGAAGGGTCTGATTAGCGCTGTTAATCAATTGAGTTTTTATTGTGTAGTGCAAAGTGTTAATTAAACCAAATCAGAAGGAAATTCAGGGGAGAAAATCAGTATCCAGAACTGTGGGAACAGTGTTCAGTACTACCAGGACCAACATTTGATCAGTGTGTCAAGCTTGGTGTTGGTGTCACTGGTTACAGAGAGACTGCAGTGGTTGAAGAATAAGAGCAGTTGGATTTCTTACTGGTTTTTGGTTTTTGCTCATTACATATTGATAAGATGAGCAGTTCAAGTCCACACTATTAAGCTTGTTAAACCCAGCCAGGGACAGCAAATTTATGAGGGAGGTAGAAACCTTTCTTTCATTTGCAGAGAATCCTTTCTCTGGAGTCAATTTTCTAACTCAACATAAATGAGAAATTAATTAATTGATAAGGTATCATACAAATCATCAATTCTGTTACAGAGTAACTGCAGTATTGTTGTTATGTTGCTTTTCTTCTGGAAGGAATTACTGCCATGGTGAGAATCCCCCGTTCTCCTCCCTGACACACTCACTTTTGCAACTTCTACTTTATATGGGAGATAAAAAAATAACACCTAGTGAATGGCAAAGTATATAGGTCACTTCAGTAGCTGATAAGTATTGCCAGTAATACCCAAACACAAAGCTTGGCAGCAAGAAACACGTGCCCTGATCAAATCTTGCCAGAAAACCTCCTACCAGCACAACCCAAACCACTTCAGGCTTGGACCTCTGTGTGGCTGGGGAGCAACTTGGCTTTATTATGTGAAGTATGAATAACATAATCCTTCCAGGGCTGGGGAATGTATTTTCCATAAAGAGGGGTATGAATGGGAATTATATTTACAGCTCTGCAAGATTTACAGCATATAACACGGAAGCAAATAATAGTTATATTTCTAATTTGGTCTAACTCAGTCATCCTGTGATACCTGAGGGAAACAAGCTGTAGGACAGTGTTTTTCACTTGCAGGTAGAGAGAACATCAGCACAACCAATATTCAACAGCAGCAAAAACACCTCACAGGATAAAGTGCAAGACTCATAAACAGGAAAACTTAGTTTCTGACCATAAATTCAGTCTCCTGCTCAGTCTACTGATATTATGTAATTGGTGTTTTCTGATGAGCTGCGGGGTAATCAGACTTAACTTTGCATCCAGTTATGAGGAATAAATTGTAAACTCTAATTACAAAGAAAGCGAGGTTATAAAATTTTAATGTAGTGAGGAATAATTAAAAAACAAAAAGCTGCGTTCTTGAAAGCTTGGCCTGGAACAAGGCTGTGAAAAAACTGGCTCCCTTGCTTGGGGAGGCAACTCCAGCCTTTCCAGGTGCAGCTGTAACTTGGTTGGGTGTAACAGTTAAAGGAAAATCAACCAGGTGGAAAAGGTGCTGTGCTTCAGGTGGTGGCTGTTTTGCAGCCCCTTTAGAGGCATTAAGCTTTTATAAATCTGTAAGGAAAGATGTTTGGGAATGGTCCTCTCCTGCCCATTCCTGCAGAATGCCTGCTAAAGCCTTCCCAGGATTAATTACTTGGAGTTTCTATGTGGAGTTTTCTCCTTTTTTTTTTTTTTTTTTTTTTTTTTTTTTCTTTTTTTTTTTTTTTTTTTTTTTTTTTTTTTTTTCTTCCCTTTTCTTCTATTTAATTCCTGTGTGGTGACACATAACTTTGTGCTGAAGGAAAATGCAATTTTGCTGTCTTTGTGGTGATGAAAACACAGTTTCCTGAAATGGCAGAACATACTTGAGTAATGTTGAGTGACGTTGTCTTGTGTCAGTTCTGAAGAAAATAACAACTTCAGCTTCAATAATGGCCTGGAACTTTCCACAGTGATTTGCTGGTCTGTCTGTGCCTCTTCACATCCTGAAGGATGAAGATTTCCTGGTGCCCTCTGAAAACTTTTCTTTGCCGTCTCTCATGTATCGCTCTGTGCAAAATTAGAAGAGGCTTTTAAAACCAGACTATTTTTGTAACTATATCAGGATTTAAGTGACTAAAGGATGTTTTGAAGCTTCAGTTAAGACCTGATTATTCCTATGAAAGCTCACCGAGTGTGGTTTGCATCTCCCTTTGGCTCTCCAAGGCTTTAAGCTTCCGAAGTTGCGTGCACTGGTTGATACTTTCAGTTTTGAAGAATGAGCTGCAGAAACGCTCTTCCTGTCCCTCAGTGCTGTTTTTGGATGAAGTTTATCATTTGAAACGCCTTTGCAAAACGTGTCAGCAGCTTTGGAGTAATTTTAAATACGTTTTATTGCCTTTGGATGTGCCTGCCTGCTGCTGTGCACTAGGTGTCAGCATTGGCCCGTGTTGCTGGTTACTGGGATGGAGAGTTGGAAGTACTTGGTTATCATCCAGAGTTTCTGGTGAGGCCACACCTTGAGGATTGTGTTCAGTTCTGGGCCCCTCAGTTCAGGAAAGACATTGAGGTGCTGGAGCAGGTCCAGAGAAGAGCAACGAGGCTGGTGAAGGGACTTGAGCACAAGTGCTGTGAGGAGAGGCTGAGGGAGCTGGGGTTGTTTAGCCTGGAGAAGAGGAGGCTCAGGGGTGACCTCATCACTCTGCAACTACCTGAGAGGAGGTTGTAGCCAGGTGGGAGTTGGTCTCTTCTCCCAGGCAATCAGCAGCAGGACAAGAGGGCACGGGCTTAAGCTGTGCCAGGGGAGGTTTAGGTTGGATATTAGAAAGAAGTTCTTTACAGAGGGAGCGATCAGGCATTGGAATGGCCTGCCCAGAGAGGGGGTGGGTTCACAGTCCCTGGAGGTTTTTAAGATGAGGCTGGATGTGGCACTCAGTGCCATGATCTGGTAATCACAGTGGGGTTGGATCAAGGGTTGGACTTGATGATCTCAGAGGTCTCTTCCAACCCAGTTAATTCTATGATTCTGTGATTCTGTGGCAGTTTGTTCTTGTCTGTCTGATTCCACAGCAAGATTCTCATTCAGACCAAAGAGGTAAGGAATGGCTGCCTGGGGCTTGTGCCAGTATATTGATGAGTTAAAGAAGCCCATGGTGGTTGTTCCTTATCAAGTTTGTTTCAACCCTAAGCCTTTAACAAAATTCCACCTCACTAGTTGCCAGTCTGTACACGTATCATAGAATCCTTTAGGTTGGAATAGACCTCTGAGATCATCAGGTCCAACCATTAACCCAGCAGTGCTGAGTCAGCACTGCACCATGTCCCTGAGTGCCACATCTGGACATCTTTTCAATCCCTCCAGGGATGGTGACTCCTGCACTTCTCTGGGCAGCCTTTTCCAGTGCTTGACTCAGCAAAGAAATCTGGGCTGTATCTTCCTGTGATGTTTTGCTACTTTCACATTGTTTTTCACATTGTTGGGAAAGCTCACACTGGACTCATTAATATCCTTTGAAACTTGTTTCGTGGAAGGCAGTGACAAATCACTGGCACAGGTTGCCCAGAGAAGCTGTGGCTGCCCCACCCCTGGAAGTGTCCTAGGCCAGGTTGGATGGAGCTCTGCAAAACCTGGTCTAGTGGAAGGTGTCCCTGTCCATGGCAGGAGGGTTGGAACGAGATGGTCTTCAAGGTCCTTTCCAACCCAAACCATTCTATGATTCAGACTCACAGCGTGAAAATCCCAGTACGGGGCCACGGAATGAAAATTTTGTGGTTTACAAGATTAGAGGCATAAAAATCGAGACAGTAATTTCGTGCTTTCATAGCTTGAGATTTCAAGATTAGATTTAAAGAGATGAAAGTCTTTAACTTAGCAAACCAATAAAATTTTGGAAGCGGTATGTTTTGGCGTTCCTTTTGTGCACATGAATATCTTGTTGAATATCTCCCATACAATGTGGAGCTGTGTAGCTGTTACTGGCTGTTTTGACTGTTTACTTGTTAGTACCACTGACAAATAAAGTTGGTGCAGAACTCCATCTCTGCAGTTTGTGTTAGCTGTTGAACCAAGCTTAAGTTTTCCTGGCAGGAGAAGTACATGCCTGGCTATGTGCGAAATCCCCGGCCTTCTGCGGTGCTGGAGATGTCTCCTACATATATATATATTTTTCTTCTTTCTCCTCCTGCTATTTTTCTTAAACTCAGATGCACACTTTAAAATTCAGATTAAACCCAGTCTCCTTCTCTTTCTCCTCTCCATGTCAGCTCTCAGAGGAGGAGAAGATCCAGCGTTACAGCATCCTCTCGGAGCTGTACGAGCGGATCGGTTTTCACCGCAAATCGGCTTTTTTCAAGCGCATCGCGGCCATGCAGTGTGCGGCCCCCAGCATCCCCGAGCCCGGCTGGAGGGCCTGCTACAAACTCCTGCTGGAGACTCTCCCTGGTTACAGTTTGTCACTGGATCCCCAGGATTTCAGCAAAGGTAGGTGGCTCTGGGAAAGTGGGGGTCACCACAGCAGGACACCCAGCTGGCTTCCTGTTACTGATTTCCTGGAGGGATTTCATATTTTGATGTTTCAAACCAAAGTGATTTGCTAGTCTGAAGCTGACTGCAGCAGTTGTTTAACACTGTACAGTCACTTTTTCTTAGTGTTGTTTCATTACTCCTGTGCAGGAGTGGACTCGATGGTCCTGATGGTCCCTTCCAACTTTGGCATCCTCTGTGATTCTGTAATAATTTCAGATTTCCTGAGCCACTGCTGAATGCGTTGCTGTGTTCCTCTGTTTGCAGCAGGGAATTTTGTTTTATTTATGAAAACTTGATTTCTAATGTTTTTCAGAAACGTCTTTGCACCTCTCAGTAAAAAAAAAAAAAAAAGGGTCATATTTTAATTTGGAATATTTTTTTCAATTAAATTGTATTTCCTTTGATATTTGTTGCTGACAAAAAGAGTGTAGGAAGAGAGAATGTACTGGGAAAAACATGCTGTGACCTGGGATGGGAGTGTGTTGGGAGAAGAGGCTGTAAAAGTTCTGCAAGAAGTGACAATGAAAAAAAGGCAAAAAAAAATGACATGATTGGTGTTTATCTCTCATTTTCACCTCAGCTTTATGTTGTGTTGAAGTGCTCTGTCTGATTTTTACCCCCAAAGTGGCTCTTTTAGAGGCACGTGGAAGGATCACTGTACACTTTCAGAGCTACTTGATAGAAACGACGTTTCACACGTGGGGAAATAATGAGAGTCTTGTGTGCAAAATATAAACTCTCCAGGTTTGGTTGCAGTAAATATTCCTCGAGCAGTTTGCCAAGTGCTGAAGGGTGATATTAGAAGGAAGGCTGTTGAGAAGTTTGTGAAGTATTGCACATCTTGGAATATTTGTTATTTAAAAATGACTGCTCTTCCTTACTGCTAAAAGCAGGTTAAGTTTCAGGAGGAGTGTTGCATAAAACAGTTTTGAGAGAAAAGTTACGTTATGATGGTCTGTTTATTGTTACAACAGATGCTTTGCAAACAGGAAATAATTCATTGTCTGAAACTTGGTTTTTAAAGACTGAAAATTGGAATATGGGCATCGTGTTCTAAAGTTTTATTGTTTTTTACTGACTTTTATTGCCAGGAAAGCATTTAGAGAAAATATCTCTTTCTTTATCTTTAAAGAGAGTTAAGAATTTCTTGATTTTTTTTTTTCCCATGAAGATATGTGGTGATGGGACAAGGGGGAATGGCTTCAAACTGACAGAGAGTAGGTTTAGGTTATATATGAGGAAGAAATTCTTCCCTGGGAGGGTGGGGAGGCCCTGGCACAGGTTGCCCAGAGAAGCTGTGACTGCCCCATCCCTGGACTTGTTCAAGGCCAGGTTGGATGGGGCTTGGAGCAACCTGGTCTAGTGGAAGGTGCCCCTGCCCATGGCAGGAGGGTTGGAACGAGATGATCTTCAAGGTCCTTTCCAACCCAAACCATTCTGTGATTTTATGATTTCAGTAACAATTAAGTTTCTGTATGAAGTGAATTTCTTGCCCAGAGAATCTAAGAAAATATAAAACTTCTCAGGTTTTATGGATCGTTTGGTTTTTCCCTCATGGGAAGCGTTAATTTCATTTTCTGAATTTTAATGATACATTTATTAGTTGATAGACAAGTCTATAAAACAAAAATTGATTTTCATGTTTGGGTATCCAAGCAAACTCTAAAGACCCTAATTTTTGTTTTGAGATTTGGACTTTGTAATTACCGGTTCCGTTGGGTGATTGTTACGAGTGTCATAAAATTACCGCTTAGTGTGTAAAGAAAACCCAAATCAATGTGTTTGTGATGACTTCTGGCTTTCAAAAGCACCCAATTCCTGTTTCCTTGGCAGGCACCCACAGAGGATGGGCTGCGGTGCAGATGCGTTTGCTCCATGAGCTGGTCTACGCTTCCCGACGGATGGGCAATCCTGCCCTGTGTGTCAGGCACCTGTCCTTCCTCCTGCAGACCATGCTGGATTTCCTTTCTGACCAAGGTAGGACTTTTTCAAAAGAGGGAGGTATTTGCATTTTCTTCTGTCCTACGGTCAAGTGATGTGACTGTTTTGGAGTGTATCTGATATCTAATTTGAGCAGTAACAGAGAGTTGGAACAAGATGATCTTTAAGGTCCCTTCCAGCCCAGATCATTTCTGTGTTTCTAACCTGCAGAAGCTGAGTGTGATGGAGTGGAGTTAAACAGTTCTAACCAGGACAGTGGGCTGAAGTTTCTCTTAAGTTTCTTTAATTTTTTTTTTTAAGTTCAGCAATGTTTTAATGGGACTTAATAAATTTTCCAGTGGCGTGAATGTGTCTGTGGATGATTTTTAGAAATGGGAACGATGCGTGTGAAGACCCTTCTGTGGGGAAAGGGCTGTGCAGCATTTACAGAATCACCTGGAAAAGCCCAAAGTGACAGCTGTTGGGTTTGTGTTATGTTTCTTAGGAAAAAAAAATATTTCAGGCTGACTTTATCACCCAGCTTAATGAGACTAATGAGCTCAGTGAGTGCTGAAAGGTTTTAAAAATTGTTTTTGCTTCTCAGTAAGCCAGGTAAGAAATGCATTTTTTTCCAGCTATTCCCTTGTGTATCATGAAAAGGGTGGAAGGGAAAAAAATGTAGGTTTTTTTTTTTTTCTTTTCTGCTTTAGCTATGGCCAAATATCTCTCCTTGGTGACTCCTGCAGCAAAGAACTTTAGGTCTTTGCCTACCTAATTCCCTCTTTTTGGTGGCTCAAATCAGTAGTGGAAGAAGGAGAAAAGCTGAAAAACTGGAATAAATGATCTTTTTGTCTGTAGATCTTATTGGCTGTCAAAAGGTCCTTGAATTTTCCAGTACTTATAGATTGCTAATCCTTAGTCCTAAAAAAGTTTGAAATCTTTAAGAGAAGCGACTTGTGTGTTTCTTGCCTTCAGACCTTGTATGTCTGAGTAGAGCATCCCATTCCAGGAGTCCTGTGATAACTGGGATGTTTTGTACCTTTGAGGAATCAAATCTTTTCTCTCCTTCTCCCCTTCCTTCTGGCTTGGCGTTCTTTGGTAATTCTTCTGAACATTGGTATGGTGTGATCACGGAATCATTAAGGCTGCAAAAGACCTCCAAGGTTGTCAAGCCCAACCTGATGTTATGCAAGGATTGATTTTTTTATTTTTTTTTTTTAAATATCAGAATATTAGGAAAAAATAAACCAGCAAACCTCCTTTATCTTGGGTTGTAGTAAAGGACAGGAACAAGACTACTGAATGTATAGGATTATGTTCTTACTCTGAATTGTTTCCCTTAACTGTTAAAAAGGTTTTGTGATCAGTATTCTCTGATAATCACATGACTGAAATGCCCAGGTTTTCTTGCCCAACTGGAGGTTTAATTAGGAAACGGAAATAATCCAGTGGCATTGGAGTTCAAGAATGCTACGATTTTACTATTTTTCTGGGCTGCATAGAAAGTTGCCAAGTTACCAGTTACTGGGTGGAGGAAGACTCACTCTTCTGAAAATTAGGTTTTTCCTTGAATGTCTTCTTTCTTAAATAAACTTCTTATTTTTAAAACTTGATGTTAATAATCCAGTAAATCCTATGCTTATATTTAAAGTTCAGGTAGTTTGCAGATCATCTTTAAAAATGAAATAAATAGAAGGAAAAAGTCTTAAACTGAGAGGAAGTTACCAGCTAAACATTTCCAGCTGGCACTGGAACTTGATCTTCTAACCCTTTTTTTTTCCTCTCAGGAGATTAGCTGCTTCAAGACACAGCAGAGGAATATTTTCTAGTTTGTTAACCTAATTCTATTCATTTTCTAGTTCAGTTGAAGTTGGAATACTGGGACTTCAGAAAACAGAAAAAAATGATTTATTCTTCCAGTAGAAGTTCAGCAGATGAGATTTAGTTGTTACAATGAGATCTAGATCTGTTAATTAGAAGCTCTTTCTTCTATTCACAGGACACAAATGAATAGTCAAAACTGGTTTGTGTTTAAAACAAAACTTAATGTTTTAATTGAATGACACTTATTTTAAAATACAACTTTTGTTTGTGTTTACTTGAATTTACTTGAATCTGCAACCATGCAGCCTGACAAATCTAAATAAAAAGTATCATCAAGTAAATGAGAGATGTCATCACTATTTTAACAACGTGGAAGCTAAGAATCTGGTTTAAAATAAAGCTATTTAGTTACGTAAATATGTAAAATGCAGTCTTCTGCTCAGCAAAAAGAGGTACCAAATTCTACATGAAAGCTCTAATCTCAAGCCATTATGTTTTAATGTTAACATTTCCCTTGAGAGTCACTTTCCTTAAATAAGAATTAAAATGTGCAATTGCGAAGTTGCTTGGTGTTTAAATCTGTCTTTTCCATAATGCTTTTTGAAACAAGGCTGTGTGTGCAGCTCAGTGAATTTGAGTTGGGTAAGGTCAGATACTTGGGGAAAACTCCAATATTTTACTGTGGGTCTTTCCTGATAATCTTCACCCAGCGTAAAAGGACCGTGGTTTGTGTTGTGTGCAGGTGATTCTGAGTTGGCTCATCTGTTCAGGCCTCTTTAACCACAGAACTGTTTGGAAGGAGCTGCTGAGGGAATGTGACTGTGCACACAGAAAGCACTCACAGAGGGCACAGCAGGTCCCTCACCCTGCTGGCTCACGTTGTCCCAGACATTCAGCAGGTTTCCAGCTGTCATTCCTGCTGTTTGGCTGCTGGTGGCAAAGATCTGGGTGTGCTGAGGTGACCATGCATAGCGTGGACGAGACTAGGAATGCTTCATTCTTTTTTTTTTTTTTTTTTGTGGGCTAGCTGAGCTCATTAAAGATACTCAAAGTTTGGCTGGTTTGTTATCTGTGAAATAAAGTGCACTTTCCAGTGCTTCTCGGTGTAGCTCTGCTAAGATCTTGTGATCCTTGTGCTTGAGTTCTTTCCAGCCTTCTAGTGAGGTGACAGCCTTCACATCCAAGATCTCTCCTGCTCTGTCTGTCAGGCACTTAATTAATTAAACCACTGACTCTATAATGATTAAACATGAGGAAATAATTTTTCACCTGTTGACCCAGAGTTCTTGGATGTCTTTATTCTTCAGTTGACAACTGTACTTCCTGGAATATCCTGGTGTGCCTTCCCATCCTTCCTCTTCGTGGTTGATTCTTGTATAATTGGACCCTCCTTTAGTTCCAGCTGCATCCTCTGTGACCAGACTTTAGGTGGGAAGTTGGTTCCCTAAGCAGTTTGGCTGGGGTTTGGGATTGTGGAAGCTAAAATGAAGGTGCTACATTGACCTTCTGACTCCAGTTTTACCTGTTTATCCTGGACAGTCAGCAGGCAAAGGTGACAAGACAAATGACAAATGTTCCATGTTTTTTTATTTGTCATGGGTTTCGATTTTGGATGCAACCAGCATGACTGACTGGGCTCTCTTGGAACCCTTTGGGTGCTTCTCCACTCAGCTGGGTTGTCAGTACAGGTACCATTGCACTGTTAGCAAAGTGTTTGGTATCTCAAAATGTCTCTTCTGCTGAACCAAATTCCCCAGATGGACAGGAAGACTCTTTAAGAAACAGAACTACACTGGCTGTGTGAAGAGTGACTTGTGTGGCCTCTCATTCATGTGCATGTCAACCTTTCAGCACCAGAAGGACACAGAATAGTGGATATCATGCAATCCACAATCTTTGTGATGATCTTTGCCTTTAGTCTTCTCAGCAGCAGCAGTGACCAAAAATAAACAGGGCACATTCCACAGCCGTCAGGTTGGCAAGTCAGATAAACTTGTTCTTCCAGTTTAGCTGGTGTGGCTTTTGGTGCTTCTTAGCTCACCAAGTGGAAGACTTTGAATAATTTTAGCTTATTTATCTTCCTAGTGGTGTCATAAAGAAATTTGTTCTAGCCCTAGCAAGCAAAAAATTATATCCTGGGCTTCATTTACAGATATCTCTGTGACAGGGGCACGTCCTTCCCAGAGTGGATACTCATCAGCCTGGCCACAGTCACTGATTCTACTGAAAGACACGAAATCTTTAGTGAAAGACTTTGTACAGGAAATACCCTGGAGTGGCTGAGAGAATTCCTTGGGCAGGAGTTTTTGTGCTTTATATCAGACAGTGACTGCCTGGCATGGCTGCACTTGCTCAGTGGATGATAAAATCACAGCTCTAAGTAAGAGGAAAGGGTTCTGTTCCTTCCAAAGGTTTTGAGTTGAATTTTAAGAAATATTCTTAGTTTTCTAAATTTCACTGCTGTGATTCCACACTGCATGGTGGCAGGATTCTATCCCTGCTGCAGTACTGCCTATTCCTTGGCACTTCAAAATCCTAGGACATGCTGATCCATGCCATGCAAACCCCAAAAGTTTTTAGGTTTGGCTCCAGGCTGTTTCCTCATGAAGGCAATCCCTCACCTTCCAGAAGATGCTTGTTCTCAGCCTGTACTGAGATCATTGTAACTAATGGAGAATTTCTGCCAAAATTTCTGCTAACTGCTGTTTGAGTTCCCTTCGTCCTCTGGATGAGTTGGGATGGACTTGTCAGTGTTGGCTGGGCAGACCCCCTTGATGCCTTGACAGCTTGGATTTGTTTGTGGCTGAGACTTCACACCAGTGATGTGAGAGCTTTCCAGAACCTTTTCATCCTCCTTCCCAGTCTCCTGTGCTCAGGTCAGGGCTGGTGTGTCAACTGCCAGGATGAGGTTGTGGCCTTTTGCAAAGAAGTGATGAGCTTGATCCAAGAAAAAGCCCCCAAACCTTGTTTATCTTCAGAAATGATGGTTTGGTGATGTCAGACGTGGTGTCTTACAACTCCTAAAATACGCCTTTCCATCTCACAGTCTGAGAGGGGAAACTTGTGCAGTATTTTAGATGGTTTTATTTATAGAACAGATTGCATTTGCATTCACTTGGTGTTACTTGAATTTCAAATTGCTGTGTAGAAATAAGGAAATAGGTGAAATAAGGAAGAATATTAAAGTGTGCTCGTGAAAATTGAGAGCTGGACCAAAAATGAGTGTGGAAATGCCCTTAAGTGTAACCCTTTGTAGCCCTCCTGCCAAGCAGCAGGAAGGACCAGACT